ATATGAGACATAATTTTCCTTTCTAACTCCATCAAATTCATGTTTTCTTATTTTTTTATAGCAATAAAAATCACATTACCAACTTTCTCAACACTTTAATTTAGACCTTAATTAAAGTTTAAATTATTTGCCCAAACTAATTTTGAAGAGGGATAATGGAAACCCTAAAATTTGAGGATTTTTCGATTATAAATTACACCTTAAAACTTAACAATCAACACTCCAAAATGGAAAAAAATTATTTACTCACATCTGACAGAAAATTCTCCTTGTTGATTTTGTTGTTACCCTTTCACTTGGAATCCTTCGATTTGTCTTTTCTATATAAAAAAAAAAAGAAGAGAACTAAGCTTTTATTTTTCTTTCGATTAGTCATGAACCAAAAATAGTAAAATAAGTAACCCTATTAAGAAAATTAGGTTATTTATCAATAGGTCCTATGCATTTTTCATTTCTTTATTAAAGAGTTCCTCCACTTATAAAAGATACTTAAAATAGTTCCTCCTTTTTTAATGGTATAACATACTATATCAACTTTTTAATGCATGTTGCTAGTAAGTTGACAATTTTTTTGATTCGTAATTTACAATGATAGAATATTTGATGATTTTGATGAAAAGAGAATTTAGAAATATAAATGATGCAGAATTGAAGAAAGCATGTGATGTAAGATTTCCACAATGGTTAAAACAATTTTGTAAGTTTTGAGCATAATATCAAATATGAATTAGAAATTATATTTTTGTATAAATTTAAACAATGATCAATTTTAATGTTTTATGATTGGATAGGTTGAAGAGCAAAATGGTGAAATGATCATCCTCTAGTTGAGATAGTTTATAGCCTTTAGATACATGGTTAGGCATTTCAAAGGTTACTTTATGAATGATTTTAAGTTTCATACAACTTATGGGCCAAACTCGAAAAACAATGAATTGTAACATATGTGTGAAAGGAAGTTGTTACAATGATTATGAGCGTGACTTTTATGGTATCTTAGAAGATATAATTGGGTTAGAGTATTTTCGGATAGAAAGTAAGGTTATAATTTTAAATGTCATTGGTTTAACATAGAGAAAGGGGTAAAGGTAGATCCCCGTTATGATCTTGTTGAAATTAAATACAATGCAATGTTTGCTAGCAAAGAACTATTTATTTTAGTTGCATAAGTGCATCAAGTTTCCTACACTAGTTATCTTTTTAGAGGAAGATATCAGAATGATTGGTAGGCAGCTTTCAAAATAAAAGCCAAGAGCATATATCAGCTAAGTAATATTGATGGAGATGAAGAACAAAAAACTAATTTAAATGAAGACTTGTACCAAGAAGTTGAAATTTTTATTCTACGAAATGTGACTATCTTATAAGAACTTGATAATCCTACAATTTTTATTATTGGTGATTATGAAGAGATAGATTTATTACAATCGATTCGAGAAAAAAAAAGATGATGATGGCCATTGTAGACACCTAATTTTATCCATATTACTTGAAATAGGCTTCGATTTCAATTGAGTGAATCTTACGTTCATTGGACTTTGCTAGGTTTGATGACAATTGGACTTAAAGGGTCTAAATTCTATGTTAATTCTGCTTAAAAGCCAAAATTTTAGCCATTTAGCCTCAAGGCCAAAATTTATGTGAGGCCTAAATTTTATGTCAATTGGACCAAGACACAGTTAAATTTTAATTCAAATAATATTTTGTTTTTATTTTACTTTATTATTTTATTTTATTTTACTTTATTATTTTATTTTATTTTTATTTATTATTTTTCTCTTTTTTTTTGCTTTTTCTCCTTCTCTTATGTTTTCACTAAGAGTCTTCGGTGCATTAAATGCACCTCATGCGCAACTTGCTAACCAGCCAAATAGGTTTAAGATTTCAGTTGGCCACTAACAGTTGGCAGCTACCTTGACAAATTGCCTAACTTTGAGTTTGAAATTCCACCAATATCTCAAAAAATCTAGGATTTGGGGTTTGTTCTTGGCTTTATAAATATAGCCTGCCAAGAATACCAAAAGATAGACAAAAGAGATTTAAGAAGGAAAAATTTTGTCGAAGAAAAAGAGAAAAAAAGGAAGAGTTTCTTTTAAGGGGTTCTATGAAAGCAATTTGTCATAACGTAGATCCAGATCTATCGCTAGACATTGACTTGAAGGAGTCGCCACCAATATTTTATTAGGTGTGATTGGTCACCTAGGGAATCTATCATTTTAAGGAACTCCAAAGCTTAACTAAGGGTCATTAAAATAATAGGTTCGGGTCTACTAACCAGAACATGGTTCGAGAATTTGGTTACATGTAAGAAAGGTTATAGCACCCCCATATGCCTATCCCAAGGATGGTACCATATTATTTCAAATTTATCCTAAGGTTTGGAGTCTAATGGTTTCA